TAGGTACTTTAGATGGAGCTAATGTGGAAATCAGGGAGGAAATTGGTGAGGACAATTTTTTCCTCTTTGGCGCCACAGCAGAAGATGTTCCTAGACTGAGGAAAGAAAGAGAGAATGGATTGGTATGCAGTTGTTCATGCATGAGTGATACCATTTATTTTCCATTAATTCAAAAGCTCTAGAAAAAAGGATGCAAAAACAAACAATTATTTTTCTCAAAATAGGCTAATTCAAATTTAAACACATGTAAGAAACTTCAAATTTCCATAAAAGTAGTTCTATCAACATTACCAGTTTTTTGTGATTTATAGTTCAAACCGGATCCTCGATTTGAAGAGGCAAAGAAGTTTATCAAGAGTGGGGTGTTTGGAAGCTATGACTACAGTCCATTGCTTGATTCTTTGGAAGGAAATTCTGGTTATGGTCGTGGTGATTACTTTCTAGTTGGTCATGACTTCCCAAGCTACATGGATGCTCAGGAAAAAGTTGATGAAGTGTATCGGTAAGACGCAATCTCTCTTATGTTTTCAAGTTTTACTTTATTAATGCAAAATTGTATACAATATTTGGCAACTTAATGCTTAAACTTAGAACTTACAGCATTTATTCAAAATGGTTTAGTCAAACTGTTAGTGCTTGATCTTAACCCCATCCTTGCTATGTCATGGCATCCTTATCAGTTAATTTTCATAGCATCTAACTTCAAAGTTGTTATTTGTTGTTTACAGTTTTCACATCATTATTCTATCTATTATCAGAAGAAAAAAAATACACAACATGTTACCAAAGAATTGAAAAGAAAGAGAATGCAACATAAGAGATAAGGAAAGTATTGAGTCAATTCGAAAAAAGACAAAATTATACTTTTAAATTAGTTTCTCAAATAATGGGTAGGAAAAGGAGAAAATTAGGAGTAATTGGGGAATTTTTTTAAAAAAAAAGAAAAGGAACAAAAAAATAGGAATAATTGGATAGATAAAATTAGAGGTATCAAAATAAGTTTAGTAAAATGAGTCAGTATGATAAAAACGTCAGGTTAACTTATTCATTTTATAAAATAATTATTACTTTTAACTAAAAATAAAAGTAACATTATTTTATTAAATATAATAATAATAATAATAATAATAAATTAATTTGGTAAGGCATCTTGCTATTCTAATAATAAGTCTCTAATATTTATTTATTTTAGGATCTAGATTAAAATAAATTACTATTAGATCATTAAATTATTAAAAAATAAACGATGATAATAAAAAATTAAGTTGTAAACTCTTATTTTGGAAGTGAAAAGATTTATTATCTTGTAATTTATATTAAATTTTTAAATTTGAAATAAAAATTAGTTTTATTAATATTTTTATTTAAATATTTTTTAATCAATTGTATTAATATAAACATGTTTTTTTTTTCAATTAGGCCAAAATTGACCTATATTCCGATAATTCGTTGACGTAACTTTTCAAAATATTAGTCAGGATGGATCTGTACTGCCTCTAAATAAAATATACTCGTTCTTGAGTTTTTCAAAAGCCAGGGGTGCAGTTGCACCCTCTAACCGAATTGACGAATTGAAGCATACATCTCTACACCACTTTCAACCTTATCAGGATAGTAATATGAAGGATTGAAGAAAAATATGGTCTGAATTTGTAGCTCTGAAACTTTTAGAAATACTATCAAACACTATTATACATATTCTTTTGACATATCATTATTGATTGAATTAACACAATTTTGTAAGGTCTTTCCATGATTTGATTTTATAGTTTCTCATGGACTTTACTCAGTAGTAGAAAGTGTTAGGAGGAATGTGTTGCTAGCACTTCTTCTGAAACTTTTTAAGTTGTCCTAAGTAAATGATTTTATTTGTATGATTTGCATGCAGTGACAGGAAAAAATGGCTAAAAATGTCAATCTTAAGCACCGCTGGAAGTGGAAAGTTCAGCAGTGACCGGACAATTGCTGAATATGCCAAGGAAATTTGGAACATAGAAGAGTGCCGTGTGCCATAATTTCTGCTGGATGTTGTCTCTTGCATTCAAGTTTATGTATAGCACAAGGAGAATGATAAATTTATGAGTAAATAAAAAATAATTTACTGAAACGATGAAGTGAAGGAGATTTTAGCTTTCTGTTTAGCTTGTCATATGAGATTTCAGCTGTTTTCTTATATTAAATGCTCTCTCAACAATCTGCTTCTGACAGATAAAACTTTTATATGCAAGTAAATCTCTAGTTTCATACTTTATTAAAATTTACTTAGCCTTTCAAATATGAGGATTACTTTTTCATCTCTGTAATGAACTACTCTGGTGCATATTCTGGTTCAGTTGAATAAACTTCTATTCTAGGAAGAATGCATGCTGTATATTTTCATATTGATAAATTATATTCACATCTTTTGAGAAATTTTCAAAGTATGGTTTATCTTTTCTCTTGAAGAATAAAACATGTTATCTTTTGTTTATAATAATCAGAATATCTTTTAACTGTAATGAACAATTAAAATGAATTTTCCGTAACTAATTTTTTTCACTGATCATCTATCTACTTCATTGGTAAGTTGATTTTAAACAACTTGTTATTGATTTCAAGACTTCAGAATAGGAAATTTTAAAAGCTCCTATTTGCTTCATCTTTTAAAATTTCCTTTTGTAACTGTTGACGGTCACTACCCAAAAAAGAGAGAAAAAACAAAGGCTTCATTGCTTAAGCTCATCAACAACATTAAGAGATATCTACCTCTCAAAAATGTAAAGTCACTTAAATTATGCTTAAATAGTAGACTCTAGTTAAAATAATATATTTATTTTCCAATCAAAATTTAATATTTTTAGAATGCATGTAATTTATGATATATATTGCTTGAATGAAGTAAGGCAACATATGTTCGGGTATATATTATAATGCAAATAGCTAAAGTAGATAGTTGAGATACACGCTATAATACAATATCTGGAGGTAAGAGAGGAGAGATACCAATACTTTGATTTTTATAGTACTTCACTTAATCTAATATATGTTTAATTCTTCTCTGACAAATTATTAAAGAGGTTTTCTGTAATCAACTAATTAAAATTAACTATTATTCACTGTTATTTTTGACTTACAACAAATATACAATAATACTCCTAACAATCATTTAATTCATTCTAAGTTAAATAACAAATATAAAAACTTTAAATACACAAGGTTACTTCAATGATCGATCTTTACCAAGTGGATAAACAATATATTTTTAATAGATAATAAATAAATATAAAAAAGTGAAAGAATAAAAAAATCAAAATATCATAAATGTGTATTATAAAACATTTATTATATAAAACATTAGGGAAATGATGGAAGGGGAGGATCATGACCGTCTCAACTCCCACACACCACCAATATTCTCTTTTACTAAGTAACTCCTAATTCTTACAAAGTTTTATCAGGGTTTCAATCCAGATTTTGAAAAGTTACAGGTAGATAACTATCACAAAGAGAGATAAAACATTTTTCAATATACAAAAGGATAAATTTACATAGTGAATTCACTCCAAGAAAATGAAAAATTACAATTTCTACATTCCCTTCTTGTAAATTTTGTATGATTGAGTATTTATATATAATTTTCATGTACAGATAGTGACGTGAGAATCTACCTCTTATAACTTGTGATAGTTTTTCAAAGTTTTGATAACTTCTAGTTTTGAAAAATATTCTTAGAATTTACTGTGTGTGTCTTGGTGTCAGTTCTAATTTGTTGTAAATATAACCTTATGATGTAAGTCTTCAAATTTATGAGATTTTTGTTGTAAATAAGTGTAATTTTTCTAACATCAGAGGAGAATGAATGTTTGGTTAGCCTCATTATATATTAAAACCATCAAACATCCTTTAGCTTGCTTTAGAAGCTTTTTAGTCCATGGAATTCTCCTATAAACATCATTATATCATTTGCAAAGAGAATGGGAATAAGCTGTTAGAGCATATTTTAGAGATGTACGAGTTTCTCTCTACTTGAATCGTATCTCTAAGTTTTCTTGAATCTTATCTTAACTTTTCTATATTCAAGTACAGATTTTTAATTTGCATTTATCTTGAGTTTCTCAAGCAGTGTGTTCTTTATTTTATAATCTTCATTCATTTTCTTAATTTGTTTCTTAGTTTCTTCTTATACTGTTTGTAATTCCACAAGTCCCGGAAACATTGTTCTTCAATTTCTATCTCTTGGATTTGTATTTTTTGTTACTTTTACGATTTATGTGAAACTCATTTCTTGAACAGTAATTTGCATACATGGAAACCTCGAATTTTGTAACTAATTTAGACACGTCACGGTCACATGATTCATGAACCACCGCATCACCGAATTAACAATTAATGGCATCAGGAGATTTGATCATAGAAACTAAAACTAATTAAAAGTCCATATGTAGGGACTAGAACTTAAAAATAGTACAACATAGATGCCAAACGAATAATAATTAACAAACGATTTATAGAAGTTCCAGAAAGATAAGGATGATATCTATACTTTCTTTAACTTGCATCAACAAGCTTCTAACTGAAAAAAAAAATTACAAACAACCTGCCTCACATGGAAAACGGACAGAAATTGTAACCAAATCATAAAGTAAATGAATTATAGTATTAACTACAGTTCTTTAGCATGAATGGAGATGTACAAATTAAAGTAAATTGTAGAATGACAGAGAACATCGCAATCCCCTTCTCCCGTATCTTTCCCCATCCTGGGATCATATCTTTTGTTGCACAACTACAAGGTCCATTTTCAATAGGTGGTGATGTTCATGAACATCAAGCCCCCAAGTGAGATGAGACAAATGTCCACCAAATTAATAGTCAAAAACAAAACAACACAGATTAAAACGTATACAAAAATCTCAATTTCAAAATGCAGAGATAAGAAGAAGTATTAATGATATTCCTCCCGATCAGGGAATGTCACTGTAACTGAAGAATGTACAAGATTAACATGAATGCTCTAAAAATCATTTCCCCTGCCACCAATCTGGGATTTTTAACCTCCTGCTTCTATGAACAGAAAGGCTGACTCCTGAAAGCTTGTGCTTGACCTGTCTCCAAAGCATACCAACAGCATCTTCTCTTTTTGGAGGGTAATGGAATTCATAATGATGGGAGATGTTTTTAAGTTGCCTCCACATTTCAGTCCATTTCTGTTTTGGAATTTTACGAAGTTGATCGATCATGTAGCCAGGCTTTAATGCCTCTTTGAAAGAGAAGAAAATTGAGAACTGGGAGTAGTCAATCTCATCCTCAAATGGGAGTTCAATTTGATCACTAACAATGACAGGAACACAATGACTCACAATGGCATCAAAAAGCCGACAAGATGACGGTGTGTCTCCAGCTGGATCTAAACAGAACTTTGATGAACGCATCCCTTTAGATGACTGGTGTATCAGAAGCAATGGATAAGGGAACACTATAGTCAATGATTTTTGCATGATAACATAAAATAAAAAACACTTATAATTGTAAACATTATCTTTCAAATGGATAATAACAAAATATTACTTTTAAGTCATCTAAAATATCTTTAGCTTTTTCAAAGGAATCCTAGCCTTTGTCTTACAATGAAGAAGAAAAAACTAGGTACAGTCGATCTTTTAAACAGTCAACCCCAAATATTACATCTACGCAAAAGATCAATTACATAACTCTACTACATACCAATTTTATGTTTTCTTCTGTAGCAACACTTCGCTCATAGTGAACATCATCATAACCAGACAGTATCTTTGCTAGTTTAACACGGACAATCCCTTCCTGCAAACATCACAGGCACCACAAAATCAATATTCACGGAATTTAAAGGAAAAAAACTACTCTAAACTGAGATTGTTCTTAAAGTGAGCAAGTACAGGTGTATCAACCTTTGAATTTAAAATTTACAAGTGTTGCGATCACAATGCGCTTTAAATTAAACCAAATGTCTGGATATGGCCTTACTTGCTAACTTTAAAGACAAACTTACTTTACAGGAACCTTGCTCCATTAAGAAACACATTATTCCTTAAACTAAATCTCAGTTAGACATACATCCTTCCTGTAAGTCCTCCCTCGGAAGAAAAGCAGTGTTGAGCGAGACTCATACGGATCTTGAGGCTCATCAACTGTAAAAGAGTCCACAACATGCACATACGGGGACACCACATCTTTGTACAAATTAGTCATGCCCCTAGGGTAGCGACCAAAATCCACAACAACCTGTATGGATTCATTCAACTGATTTCTTAGGAACCTAAAGGCATTGGGATGTGTGACAGGAAATACATGGTCTCTACCTCCAGACCTCTGCCAGTATTTGGATTTCTTTAAGAGTTCCATTAAATCAACCTGACACCAGAAATAAGCACTGTTTAAAATTTAACAACAGAGATTTGTAACACAGTAGCTATGATGCACAGACAGAGGTATAATACCCATATTCTCAAAAAATTTCAATGCAGGCATGGCAAGAAACTATCTAACATACATAATATATATTACATATTACATATGAAACGGTAAAAAAAACTCAACACTAACAATTATCATAACACATCATAAACAGGTAGAGCATTCCGCATTTATGTTGCGCCACTCTTTGGAGGACTCAAATCTACAATTAAGAATTGTGCTAGCTCAACAGCATCAAGCAAGCTGACATACATAAGGCCTAACTTTGAGAATCTTTTGGCAGTACATCAACCCCAATACAGCCCCGATGTATCAGAACTGACTATAGGAGGTATTTCTCGCCCCTCATCACGACCATTGCCCTTAGGAGAATAATATAAATAAATAATATAGCCACACTGTCCAAATTTACACTCTTATTCTCCTCCTTCAATTAAATTTCTCAAACACTGGAAACATTTCATTTGGATATCCCTCCTTCCTAGACTAGTGATGAACGCTAACATTCATCAAATTCTTAAGATTTTCAGCACCTAATGTCGTTTGACAAATATCCCGCACAATGAATCTTCAAGTGACAATACTAATCACATTCCAAGGCTAAACATGCAAAAACGAAATCAACTCGCATCGCATTGCATTCGAGCGATTCAGAAATCAACTTCGAAGAGAAGAAACCTAGCGACGCACCTGCAATTGGCGATCCAGCTGCGTGGCGGGGTCCTTCATGTTGTGACCGTGCGTGTTGAAACTGAGCGAAGAGAAGAACGGAACGAAGAATGCGTCGGCGAGTTCCGGATCCGAAACCCTAACCGCTTCTTTGCCTTCGCCATCGTGGAGCAGCGACCCCATCATCCAGTACTCCACGCTGTGCTGCTTCTTCAGCCCCCAATTCTCTGGCCACCGCGGCCAGTCCTCGACGGTGACGGGAGTCTCCGCCGTGTTGCGACGGTCAATCATGCCGACGTTGAAGCGGCGAGGGAGATCGTACATGAAGACCCGAAGAGGCGGGTCGGGTGCACATGGAGTGGGTGCAGCCGCGGTCAACTTTAAGCGAGGGAAGAAGTAAGATCGAATGTCGAGGGTGCCAATGAAAATTGAGTATGAAAGGAGGAGAAGAAGCACGAAAGTGAATGTGAGAAACACCTTTCCAGACATTGTTTCTTATTACACCTGCTTCTGTTAAGAGTTCCATCTTCCATGTATTTCAGACAAATGTGAAGGCCACATATGCATTTCTTCGACAGTGAGCTTTTGTCGTTTTCGTAATTTTACTCAATATTTATGTATATAATTTAAAAAAAAAACAAAATTATTTAAAATGTTACAACATCACTTGATTTTAACGTATAACATTCAAAATAGGTAAATATTTTTTTAATTAGATAATATATCATAAAAATTAAAATTATATATAATCATTAAGATAATATTCTATTCAAATATAATATTAAATATGTAACTTAATTCATTTATAATCTATACAAAAAATAATATTAAATATTTAATTTAACTACAAATAGTTATTATTGAAAGTGTAATATAAACTTTCACCATGAAAATTGACATTTATAAAGATTAGGCTTTATATTTATTTTAAGAATACGAGATTAAGTATTGTAAATTTGAAATAATTATTCAAAAGAATAAATATCAATTAGAACTTTGCATAAGTGAGATGCTTTTAAATTTGTTTTCGAAAGAATAAAATATCTAATATAGTACTTAAATATATCAATTCTTGAATATTATTAAAATTTAGTGATAAAATAATATTTATTTTATGTAAAATTGTTTTAAAATAATAAAATAATCTCACAAAATTAATAAAAAAGTAGTTATTAATTTTTTACATATTTAAGGATTAAAATAAATTTAAAATAAAACAGAATTAATAATATCAAATAAGATTATAAATATGCTTAAAACTGTCAAGAGATTCTAGGTTTAAAAAATTTAAAAGTTGAAAATAGGATTAAGAAAGAAAAAAAATATCATGGAATTTTTTAGATTTGTATATTTAATAAAAAGCAAAAATATCGACTTTTTTTTCTAAAAGATTACGTTAAAATTAGAGCTATTTATCAAATTAATAATCACCTGATCTGGGCTGGGAATATATATAATGGATTAGATTTTCTTATGATTAAATTAAACTCAAATTAATATATTTTAATATTATTTTATATGAGATAATAATTAAATTTAATAAAAAATTAAATAATAATAATATAATTATAATTTAATTATTTCATTAATATTTTTTGAAACATTAAAATATTTAAATATTAAATAGTATAATTTATTTTTGAAAAATATCATGAAAAATATCTAAAAAGTATTTTGAAATATAATTTTAATAAATTAATTAAAAAATATAATCCTAATTTCGTCAATTCAATATAATCTAAAATAAATAAAGTAGGTTAGATTAGACCGTAAAAAATAAAAAATATCACATAATTTAATAAAAATTTATTTATAAAAAAATTGTTTAGACGGGATAATTTAGCTAAATCCAATTTAATATCGCTCTTGCATACCACATTACTTAAAATTTCGAAACAAATTTAAATAATGTTTTATCTTTGTCTAACACGAACAAGTATTTTGAGGAGTACTTCAAAACGATTATTTGACATTTTGTTTTCTCCAAATATTACAGCAAATGATAATATTTTGAAGTTAGAGAAATTATGAAAGTGAAAAAAAAAAATTCTACTTGGCTTATTACACTTTCTTCAATATGAAAGTTTAGTTATTGTAACACTTTAATTGTATATTTAATTAATTTTACAAAATATAAAATTTTGATCAACCGTTATTACAAAATGAAATTGTTAATAGAAGATAATAAAATATTTACTAGAATAACAAATACTTAAGTTTGCTATTAAATTTAATATCTATAGTGAATAAATAATTGACACTGTAATTATTTATAAATGTGCAAATTTGCTATGAGCAATTAGATAATATATTAATTTAGACTATATTATTTAATTTTAAAAAATAGTAATTGAACCACAATTAGATTTGTATAGAGACTAAAATTACGCAAGTACAAAATTAAGAATTTAAACGAAATAAACACAAAGGAAAAAAAAATCCGTGGAACTGCTTATTAGAAGCTCAGCTTAGCATGGAGTCAATAAATCCATACTAAAATTGTAAGTATTATTTTAAAAATACTAATGTACACGTATTGATGTTTAAGAAATAGTTGTAAATTTAAGTGTGTTAGAATCTTAAACAAATGGTAGTTACGTATGTGTGTTTGTTCTCCACAATTCTTTAATCAGACACTTACTAAAAGAAAAACATTCAACAGTTTCTCACTCAACTATTCCGATTAATCAATTATTTTATAATTAAATAATATATTATTAATAAATAATAAATAAATATAAAAATATAAATTTTTTTATTAAATATATTTAATAATTTAATTTAATATTTATAAAAAATTAAATTAAATTTCATATTCTAATTATATAAATAGATATATTTAATTATCATTATATTTTTTAAATGAGAGATTTCACAACATAAAATTAATTCCTCGACTCAATTCACCTAAACCCAAATCTAATGTCTAATTTTTTTTCCATAAAATTTTAAAAATAAAATATCATATCCCAATCTTAAGAGAGGAAAACAATTATTTTAAATTCAACCATGCTTTAAATATCCTACTACCACAATATGATAAATAGAAACCTTTCCTTCAATATCTATTTGATTTAAGTTGAAAGCGTTATTCCTTTAACAATTCCCTAATATTATTCTATAATAACATAGTAAAAAAAATTATAAAATCATAAGGAATGTCGACAAATAAATTTACACATTTTAATAAAAACAATTTAAGTTTTCATCATATTAAAGTTATAAGAAAGCATACAAACATAACGAATTTTATGTTTCTTGTATAAAAATGTTTTTTTGATAAATAATTTAAAAAATTAAAAAATAACATCTATTTTGTAATATAAAAAATTTACAAAACGAAAATTTTATCTTAGCGTAAAACCTATTTAACTAACATAGTATAAAATTTGAGCTCGATTCACAATGACGCAAGAAAACTCTGCCAACCCAAATTTATTGATTTTTTCTCCCAAATCAAATTTTAGATTGCACAATGTGTACAGTAGAGATAAAGAGCTGATTAACTCCTCTAAAGGAATGGATGAGTACTACCTATAAATAACCAGCGTAATCGATAAATCATCTATTATAACAATCTGAGTAAACCAACAGCAATTAAAAGAAGAAAAACCAACAGAAATTAAAAGAAGCAGATGACAAAAAAATTATGAAATCATAACAGAGAAAGATACGAAATTAGATCATCTATGCTGAGAGTAACAATTTTTCAGTATTTAAATGCCTGCACTACTAGGAATAGGGATCATACGGTTTTTATCGGAACGAAACCAAACGAAAACTTCGTCTACAACTACTGCATACATACATCACCACACTACTATTAACTACTATAAGGCCATAAATGAACATCAAAATTCAAGTCGAAGGAGAGGTAGATCTTGGAGTATTAGACCTCGATAGGGATCTCGAACTTGCACTCACACTCGAGCATCTTGCCTGGTGTTTAGAATATTTGCCGCTCCTCTTGGAGCTTCTTGAATGACTCCTCCTGGACCTGGGGGACAAACTTCGAGAGTCTCTCCTCTTTGATACAGGAGTGGCACTACGTGAGTAGCTCCTCCTTGACCTCCTCCTTGGCCTAGGTGAGGCACTGTGAGAAACAGACCTGTAACGATGCCTTCCGAAATAGCGATCATCAGGTGAGGCACTCCGGGAAACAGACCTGTAACGGTTCCTTCTATAGGAGCGACCATACGGCAAGTCATATCGGGAGTCATAGGGAGAGTATGATCTGTCGCGCAAGCTGACAGGAGACCTGCTATAAGGAGAACGAGAGCGCGAATATGACCTGTGTCGATCATATCTCACATAAGACCTGTATCGGCTGTAGAATGGAGAATAAGACCTTCTCCGGGAGTAAGACGGAGGAGAGTATGACCGCCTCCGCCCAAAGTGAGGGGAGTAAGAACGACTCCTACTTCGGTCTGAAGAATAGGGAGACCGACTATAACTTCTTCTGTAAGGAGAATAGCTAGGGGAGCGACGAGGAGAGTAACTAGGAGACCTGCGTCGCCCTATATGTAATAATAGGAATTAGATAAATAAAGAAATAATTCTATCCAATTAAAAAAGAAAAATTGAAGAGATAACTATTAAAACATACCACGAATAGTTCTCAGCCCTAGATATTTCCCTGGTGTTGGGGTTCGACCACGTCGCCTTCTGGCCTGCAATAGATGCAAAAAAGAGCATGAATAGGGGGTATTGATATACACGAGTAGAGAAACAAAATAACATCAATGTAAAGTAAAAAATGCTGCATGTTTGCCCTAAAAGTAGACACTATCTGCAATTGTGAGAGGAAAATCATAGGAATCACAAAATCACAATACATGAGATAATACGATATAAACGCAATAGAAAAGAGAGAAATGCAGGGCATACAACCCTAATGATCTGATACTTGGTGGTGTATTTGATTTGTTTGTTTAGTTGTGATTTGAGAGTTTGATGAAGAGCTGCTTCACACAGCTAACCTGCTGCCACAGAAACTTCAAATGGAAAGCACAAAACTTTCAAAACTCAGAACTAAAGAACCAATCACCCATATAACTTCCATGCATTGTAGTTGAACAATATTCAAATCAAATAAGAAACCAAACAACAAAATAGGCAAGCATACTCAAAAAACTACACCTTCTCCACTGTGATGACACGCCCTTCAAGTACAGAGCGATTCAGATACTTTACACATCGATCAGCCTCCTCAACTGTTTCCATTGTCACAAAACCAAACCCACGTGATTCCCTTGTCCAAGGATCAACCACCAGATGTACATCTATCACCTGAGATGAGCAACTTAAAAGTAAGAAACGGTAGGCAGAGTATTTACATCTCCACAGAATGATAAGCTACTTCAACATCATTAAAACTAACAGAAACATATTTAATGGATTTTAGAGATTACCTTTCCCTCTGCAGCAAAATGCTTCTCCAGTTCCCTCTTGGTGATCCTAGGAGACAAACCTGTCACATACAGATTGTTCCCTGGATTTTCTGCATCTCTTGATACACTCCTAAATTACCAGAAAACAAATTATACATGAATGCATAATCAGATGAAAGAACACTCAGATTCCCGCAGTCAGACACTGTTAGAATTAAACAATTCACGATGGAATGAATAATGTGCGGCGAGTTAATGACCATATTGCAATAAAAATATCAATAGATAATTGGATGAAAAACACCTGAATGAAGAAAAACTACCAATTGCATCCTTCTTGATTATCCCATTGCTTGTCTAGACAATCCTATATGAGTGTTCTGTTGCTCCATTATCACTCTCATAAAACAATATCTTCATATACATGCACACACCTAATATTGGCTTATAACCATGTTTAACGTGGCTATGTGTGGTTAGTTGTCTTCTCGAGACTCAGTTTAAAATTGTAAACTATTATATATTGAACACTTCACATCATATATCATTCGGATGAAAAATGTTAGGCTAGCTTTCATGGCTTAATATTAATATTCTATACAAATCAAATTCAATGAGAATCATTTTCTAAAATTTTATAGGGGAAAAAAATCCTACCTTGAACGGCTTATGGATATTGACGCCGAGAGCGACCTGGACACAGACCGACCACATCGCTTGTATGGAGAAGGAGAAGGAGAAGGAGAAAGAGATGGAGAATACCTACGCAACGATAAATGAGAAAACCTATAAGCAAAAACACATTCCAAAATCCTAACAAAAAAAATGACAACTAAAATTCAGCGAGCATCTAACCTTGATCTCCGTGAGTACGACATCTGCAACAATTCAGCCAGTAACCCAAACACACGAAATTAATAATCAGTAACCGCATCGGACAAAGGTCAATTCACATAAATATCAAGCATGCATTTTGTATTTTCTCAAAACAAATATTTAACCCCATAAACACGAAATTACCAATTTCCACATCCACCACCACATGCGTCCCAAAAATATGCAAAAGTAATAACTACCAGCGTGTTTCCAAATAAAATCGAACGATTAAATTGTTATCTAAAATCTTAAATCGTATATTCAAATCCCACTAAGATTAACTTCTAATATGCGACACACCTTTCTATTCCATCCAATATCACTAAACAAACGCACAAACATAATTCAGAAACAACCTCCCCTCAAATCCCTCCGAAACTCAAATCAAACTATTTAAACAAAACGCAGTTATTTCAACAAACTCTTGGATCAAGAAAACAAAATTTGAAAATAAAGAAATAGATTGAAGGATTTGATAAATTAACAGCAAAAAATTTCAAGGCCTTCTGAGAAGAAGGCCAATTCTTGCGAGGGTAAATTCACATAACAATAATCCAAAAAATAACAAACATTAAATCATCGAATCGCTCGCTATAAATTGAAGAGACGGTGAGAATTGAGCTTACCATAACAACAGATGGACGACAATGAGTTGCTTTGTTGAAAGATTGAGTACCAACTTTGTCCGTGAACGACAGAGTACAGATGCGTTTTGAAAAAGATGAATTCAGTGAGGGTGAAGAACGTTATATAGAGAAAGAAGCGTGAGGTTGTGGTTCTTTGGAGGCTTCTGGAGAATCGGACGCCAAAGCGGAATTAAACTCGCTTGAATTCTTCAGGGGCCGTGGGCCGTTAAGAATTTGTGGCTTTTACTTTCTGCACCACATGTATTCCAATTTTAAAATTCCATATTTCTTTTCTCTATTTTATAACAACTGAGAAATGGTATTATGACAATATAACATTCATCTATTCAATTAAGATTTGAACCTATATATATATATTATAATTTTGCATTAAAATTATAATATGAAGTTATTTTTACTACATTCAAATTTATATATTTATTAATTGGTGTGCAAACAGATAATACAATTTGATGAATAGATGATTATAATAATTATGAATCATATTCAACTAGTTCGATTTAAATTTAACAATATCGTTTTCAAGTATTTTACCTTCATCTATTTTTCCTCGTGGAAAAAAAAACTATATAATAACTATGTTTTAGCATTATTTTTAGTGATATAACATGACCACAAACTATTTTCAAAAATATTTTAGAATGAAGAAACCATTTCATGTACTTCCCGAAAAGCATAATATGGATGTTTTTAAATTTTAATTTAAAGCATAAAATTCCTAAAATTTAAAATTTTGAAAAATATGATTTTTATCATATTTTCTTGTTTGATAATTATAAAGCTTTTGAAATACGGATTGATATAATTTTTCCTTCGGATTACTAAATTTGTTGTGAGACATTTTCAACCAAATATTTTGAAAAAGTCTTTCGGAACTATTTAATCATTTTAGTAAAACTTAAAATCAATAATTTAAAATAAATTATCAAATGACCACAATTAAAAGTTTCAGAGTTTTACTTGAACGAGGGAAAACAGTCATTCTATTTATACTTTTTTTGTGTGTGTTTTAAATAAACTTTTATAAAATAATCTTAAAAAATATTTCAAAAAGTTAAAATAAAACTTATTTGATAATTTTTAAATACTTTTTTAATGAAAAGATAATTATACAAAGGACTTAAAAAAGTAAAGTTGACAAATTGTTTTGATATTTTAAATATATAAAAATAAATCATTTAACATAATTATTAGTAAAAATTATAATATTTACTAATGAAAATTTTTAAAATAAAAAAATTATATTTTTCTATTTTTTAAAAATTAAAACATTTCAAAAACCGTTTTAACACCAAACAAATTTAATTTTAAAAACTATAAACTATATTTAAAAATAGTCAATCTTTTTTAAGTATATATTGTTGTAAAATTTAATATGTATAGATATGATAGAAGTTGTTTAAGTATTGATTTAAAATATACATAAATATTTTTTATTTCTTATTTATTTATTAGTACATCAAACTTTTTTTTCATGTCACAGTCTTTTATAATAAGTTTGAGATATATTTTAAAAAATAATTAAAACTCCTTCTTATACATATATTTTATAATATTTTCCTTTTCTCTATATCATTAAGATTAAAGTTTTATTATTTTTAAGAGAACTTGTCTATTTATTCATAATATTCATTTATCTTTAATTAACTAAAACTTCCAATTAAGATTAATTATAATAAATATCTAATTAATATTCAAAGATATTTTTCCATACATGTCCAATCACATAATCTAAATTTCATCTTTCTTTAAGTTTTGTTTCGATTAAATTAAATGATGGAAAGGAAGAGAGTGAAAAAATAAATGAAAAAGGAAGAAAAAAAACATGAGTGAAAAATAATTTTATTTAAATTAAAAAATAAAATAAAATACGAAATAATTTGATTTATTGTTTTAATTTTAATTTTAAATTATTGTCTCTTATTAATTTTTTATTACCTTTCTCTGATATTTTATTTTATTGAATTCATAACAACATATTCAATACAATTTATTTATTAAAATGTTTTAAAAAAATACTGGTTATTTGTTATTTTTTTAAAAGAAATCTTAAATAGTAAGTTAATTAAGTCTGTTTGGTTTGTTATTCTACCACACAATTACAAAAATAATAAAAAAAGGAGAAATAATGATTTTTTAAATTTGTTATTAAAACAGAATTAATTATAATATATCATATAATAATTTCATATTTTACATTTTTTAACTAAAAAACAATTATATGAATATCAGTAAAAATAAATAAATAAATATATATATATATATATATATTTATATTTATTTATTAATTTATTTATTTTTTCTTTTCTTTTCTTCCTACACTCGACCACCTTCTTTATTCCCTAAATGTACTTTTCTTACAAATAAGCTAAGCGGGATGGATGGATTTTTCCTATTCGATATTTGTTCCCTACTGTTTTTTAACAATATGAATATTTTTAAGTTAAAATTTAAAAATATGAAATATATTATTTATAAGAAAATAGTAAATAAATGAATTTTTATTTAATTAATTTTAAAGTAATATAAATTTTAATTATTAACTTTTTAAATTTTTTAAATTTAAATATTTTATTAAGATAAAATTTAATAGATGATAAATAAAAAAATAAAATATGATATAATAAAATATAATAAAAATAAATTATAAATAAAATAATATTAATTATTATATTTATATTAAATTTATAAAAAAATTAAAAGAAGAAAAATTAATTTTATCGTAAGATTGGTTGAAAAATGGAAAAAATTAAAAAATATAAATAAATAAAAAATAATAAAAAATATATATAATAAAATAATTGATATAAAATATTAGAAAAGATAAAAGAATATAAAATAAAAATAAAAATGATAAAATATAAAAAAATAGTTTATATATAATAATACAAAACATTTTAAAATATTAATATTTTAAAATTTAAATTTAAATAAAAATTAAGTAAAGATAGAGATTATAATACCTTCCATCTGTGCTCGTAGCTGATTAACTGGATTTTTCGAATATCAAACTCTAAACAACATAAATATAAATAAATGAGTTTTATTTTCACTGTTAAAAAAAATAAGCACATAAAGATGGTGCGAGAGAAATGAAAAACTAAAGACAAAAGTTATTGTTTGCCAAATGAAACATATTGTCCAATAAACTTTGGAAAATGCAGTTAATTATTTGATGTCATCCATCTATTGTATACCCATATATCGAGATAAAGATGGTTTCCTATTATAGAAAGTCTCTCCATGACATGTGTACATTTTCTTTTATTTAAAACTTTATTTTTTACATGTATATATACAGGTTTACATCATAAAAATCCTTTATGAAAAAATCAATGAAAAAAAATGCAAAAATACTTTACTTGGGTAAGCACATTCACTTCAGGCAGTGACATTAACCTTCTCATCCAAAACCCGCGAAAATCAAAGCCTTCTTTCTTTCTCAAACAAAACGCTAGAGTATATGAGTGAGCATAGCAAAAGACATAGTATAAACGAGAGCGAGCAACAGCGCACACACACGGTGGCGCACCAATGGATCCGATCCAAGCAGCCAACGAGCTCGCTTTCCGGGTCGGGTTCACCGGCCACAGCGGCCACCTCAGACTGGAGCCGCTCACCACACCGGAGCGCCGCAACCCACTCTCTTCCATTCCCGATTTCATTCCGGTCAGTCACCGCGCCGTTGACCTTTACGCTCTCTGTTTACTCCATTTTCGCACTCTAGGTTTTCTTCGGCTGCCACATGCCACATCACACTAACGCTCGAATTACTACCTAATCTTTCTGATTATCTTCTGTCGCTTTATTTGCGTGTAATTATTCGTTGCTTTGTCTTAATTAACGTATTCAGTGATATATTCTATGAGATATTTTCAATCTTGTATATGTACTAGGTTTTCCTTTTCAATACATGTGTACAGCGGAAAAGTAACAGATACAGGTTCGTATGGTATGCTTTACACCAGGATTTAATTCCCCACACTGGACATGTTTCAATGTTTAATTTGTGACTGAGATTAGTTTGGATAACACTCTAATCATATTGTTCTTATCAAACTTTTGTTGCTCAAAATCATTTTTATTGAAATGAATTCTTTGTAACTTTCAAACAAACGGGTTCAAAGTTTTTTGGTTCACAAAACCCTAAAAATATGTTTGGAAGTGTGTTACAGAGTGAAAGGAAAGGGAAGGCAATTATTTTGTTTTCAGTTAAGAGTTTTACTTAAGTTTTTCAAATGGACAGACGATTAGAGCATTATTAGGGTGTTTGGTTGGTGCCTAGTAATAGGGACTTACCAAGGTGGAAGCAAAACATTGTAGCTTCTATGTAAATTTTGAAATTGACGCCCAGTAAATGGTAAAAAACGTACGTTTCTAAAGTGGACGCGAACACATTAAATTTATGCTAATTTATAGTATTTTTTTTTTAATTTCAAGAAACTAAAAAATTAGAGAATATTTTTTAAAAATGGAATTTATTCTCTGTTCTCTTCCCCTCCAAATTCATACTTTCAAGCATACCTAAAGAGCACCAAAGACTAGCAACTTGTCATTTTTATTAACATTATGATTAGTTTACTTCACTGGCATCATAATGAGCAAGTTAGATGGCCAGGCGTCAGTTTTACCTCTGGTGCCTCACCCTGGCACCTTAAATTTGCATGTGCCTGGTTTAAGTTATTATGGAAAAATAATTATTTTTTCTGTATAGCTTTCTGAGAGAATTTTTTGAAAAAGGACTGTTTTTCCTAAATTATGCAGTTCCTAAACATGCTAATTTTTGAAGTCCGAGTTTGATTTAAATTCCCATTGGTAATCTGTCCTATTTTATTTCAGCCACCTGCCTTTCCTAGTGAGACACGTGAATCTATAAAGAAGTACATAGAGGAGACATATCTACAGCCACAATTGGATCCTGATGAATTTTTGCCAGAAAAAGTTGGGAGGCAGTGGGAATTTGACTGGTTTGACAGGGCTGA